GAACCCCTCGCATGTATCCGATACCAAAAATGTGCAAAAATCTATCATTGAGCTCAGCTGGAAAGAGAACAACTAACAAAAAATCTGCAATATTAGAAAAAATATGCAAGACATATTATCTAATTTGAAGGTTTTACCAAAACCTCCGTCCGTTGTTACCTATTCGTATAGGACATGCCAATTACCGATAGCACTCAGGTTGGAAAACGGGAGAAAGAACTTCAACATACCGAAAATTGAAGGGCAATAATTATGGCGTATTTCTGGGATGCTGTTTTCTATTCACAGGAATCCGTTATCCCTAATTATAGCCAACTCTATGAGAAAATTCGGTCAATGTCTTTATAGAACCGAAAATGGAGCGGGACCTGTATTTATATGCTATATCAAAACTCGGTCCTAAATAGATAATTTTTCACCCCCAATATCTCGAAATGATATATTTTATTATATTTAGACATACAATGGGAATGGGGATTAATTAATTTTTGATATGAATCATCCAAAATATAAAATTACAGCCAAATAACAAATATACTTGGGCCAATAATAATAATTGATAATTTTAAGTAGAGAGATTTTCTGCTCAAGAACTAAAAGCATGCTGTTGAAAACCGTGCCCAAGATCTTCAAAATACCGAATGTTTAGGGCTACCATTATATAGGCGGTACCCCGAAACATGTGCCAATATTGATAATATTTGGTACGGACAGTTTCTGCTCAATTACAGCCAATTCTGTTGAAAAAAATCGTTACAATTTCTCATATTGCGAAGTACCGTTATATGGGGATACCCTAAATAGTGAACTAATATTGAACATTTTCAATACCAAATATCGTAGGAGTAGTAGCAATGTATGTGCAAATTTCAGAGCACTATCTTAAATCGTGGAGTGTAGCTTAATATTGGGCTATCTTGAATTATATTTGTGAATTATACATCAACAATTATGATATGCAAGACAACGTTTGCCGGGCCCGCTATTGTGCACATATATTTTGATTCAAACAAAAATATTTTTTGTTTATTTATTCTTCAAACAATAAATTTGACAGTCAATGAAGACTTCGAATTCGCCTCCTTGTTAACATTATTAATAAACCATGAACACAACCAAAACACAATTTATAATTTTGTAAGATAATTGTCCTTTAAAATCTTGAAATAGTCCAAATGTGTTTCAAAATTAGAATTGAATTGAATGTTGACAAAATATTAATATTTTCGTTTCGACATCTAACATAATTTTGTATGTATGTATCGGTTTCAAACTATGATTTGACAGCAAACTTTATATTCAGCTGTGCTTACTGTCCGACCTTATATGGGCCTTGATAAGGATAAAACATTTAGAAAATATGGAATTTCGAATGGGAACATGAACTATTTGGATTAATTTAATAATTCTTCAATTTTGTTTTGTGGTTTGTATTATTCGCTTGAAGATATGGATTCGACGTATTTGGGTAAGTTGATTTTTTTGATACGCCCCATCGGATAACAGGCAACGTTGAAATATATTAGGTCACCCAATAAGGCCAGTCGCTTCTAATTTCTTTTATCAAAATATTTCATTTGGAATAAAAATAAAATAGTTGGTAAAATAATTTTTTTTTTAAACAAATGTGTACAATGCAAGAAAATTATATCAAATAATGTAAAATATAAATACATAAATGGTTAGCAAAAAATCAATGAGTGTGTTACTTTGCTAAATAAACCAAATCTTTTAAAAGACCTTTTCGCCACAACCATAACTTTTGACAATAAATGTAGATGTTGGGTTGTATTATTGGAACATGTTTTGAGGGAATTTTCTACATAACTATTGGGAAACTGAAATTCCTAAATGTATGTCAATTTGGTATGCAAATGTGGCCGGACTTTTTTATACCGTTTGCTCAAAAAATGGACTAAAATATGCCGGGTGAAATATTTTTATTTGTCATGAAGTGAAGACAATACTAAGGTTTTAACGGAACTACAATTCGATTTTAAATTCATTATAATTTCATTGCGTATTATTGAACACAGCATTTAAGGAGACCACACACCTATGGGCGAAGCTTACAAGTGTTTTGATAGAACCCATGCTTATGGACAGAGCTAAAAATAGTTTTGTAAGAAACTTAGTCTATGTACAAAGTTTAAAAATTGCTTTGAAAGAAATCAATCCTTTGGGCGCTTGATAATACAACAAAAACTATGAACGGACCTTCAGAATTAAACTTCGCTTATAGGCGTCTTAAAACTATATATTTTCAATATAGATGTGACTATATGTTTAGAAGTTTTTACAGTGGCAAGGAATACTATGTATATATACTATGCACTATAGCTGAAATAGCCATTGTAGTGGCAAAAAGTCAATTTTTAACATTGAATTTAAAAAAAATTGATGGCATATTGATAAGAAAAAATCGAAAAAAGTTTTTACTGTTAATGTATACATTACTTCAAGCACGCGTTATTACACTTGCAGCAGCAATAGTTTCGTAAAATTAAAAACCATTTTTTAATAAAAAATTCTTTGAAAAAATATTGATAATTCCCATACTCGATTTCAGTATTTTTACTATATAAAAATATACTTTGCTAAATGTTTGTATTTCGTACATATGTTAGTGTTTTTGTGTGTATTTTTTGTGAAATTTTGAATAGTTTAAACGTGTTTCGTAAGAGTAAGACTAAAAAGTGTTGCAGGATCTATTTATATGTGATTGAAACTCAGGATCAAAAATTACAGTAAATTAGTGAAATTAATATGTATTAGAGCTTAGAATTATATTTTTAAACTAGAATGGGATAGTCTTTCCAGAAATGAGAAAGTATTTCGGAGAACCTATATGTGAAGTATTGTGTACAATGGATGTTGAAGAATCTATCCTAGTTTTGAGCTATGGATGCGATGGTTCAACCGGCCACAGTTTAGTTCAACAAACATCTATGGCTCTTTTGACATTAGACATTTCAATGAATGGGAATATGAAATGACAGCCAACTTGGTTAGAAAAATTGCCCAAACTCCCCTTAATACCGAAATTTCGGAGGTACCGTTATATGGGAACTACTTAAAAAAGTTAATCATAGTTTTTGGTGGGAAGGTTTGCTACCCAATTAAAATCTCAAATACATAAGCTCAGCTAATTCATTTAAAAAACGTAAGCAAAATCCCAAAATTTAGACTAGTTTAAAGAAGGGTGTACGTGTAAATCATTATTTTCATAACTACTTTTACTTTGTAAAATGTCGTACACGAAATGCAATTTAATGGTTATCGTCCAATATTCTTTAAATTTGTTTATATTTTTTCACCTGCTGCCATTTGTACATACATAAAGCGTTGCCATTTTCGTCATCTAAGGAAAAGTGATGGAGTTTTGTTGCATTGAAAATTGTCGCTATTTAACATAGGATGGCTCTGCATTGAGACGAGCAGAGATGGAACGTCAAATCCATTAGGTTTTTGACAAAATACCTTTTTTCATTAATTAATTTAGAAATTACGTATGCTTTACTCAAATCCATATCAAATTTCAAAATTTTCTTCTCAGAAAAGTTTAGAATTTTGTATCAGTTCTACTAAGGAATTGTCAGAGATATGTAAAAATAATATATATTCTGAAAAATAATTGTATATGGTAATAATATTCAAATAAATGACGTTTACTATATTTATTACATTTTATACAGGTATATGACGTTTTCGACGTTTACACCTTTTTGACAGTCAAACTAAAAAAAAAATAAATAAATTAAAACACACGGACCATCATTGAGGGACGAGTGGATTTAATAACAACAAATTGGAGAACCTATTGCCAAACACTTTTTATGGTGTTGAAAAGAAAGACTTACATACAGAAAAGGTTTTGTACATTTACCAGTCCATCTAAAATTTGGATTTATTAAATAAAATATTCTGTTAAGATGCATAATAAATGTCATTCCGTCTTTCTCAAAGTATGGACTTGTAGTTTAAATGAAGAAGAACAAGAAATTCGATATAACAAGAGCACACAAATACGATATAAGCTACCATTACGGTAGCAGTAACGAAACATCTGTTGTGTCTGCCCGATGAAACATATGCATATGGCTGAAGATCAGATTTCACATCAGCCTGGACAATTTCGTGCAGTCGGTACCACAGAGACATGATACACAATAAATCATTTATATACGCCCGAATTCGGTTAAGCAAAAATTACTAGTTCGAGTACATTATGCGGAATTTCTCTTAAAATTGACCCGAAATATTAGTTTATACACATACGCTTCAATTAGCTGAATTTTTGAATCAAACGGCGTGCAATCATAGGAATTCCACTGTACACATGACACTTGTTAAATACAAATGTACGAATATGTCCACAATATTTTATTTTATTTACATTCTACCAGCCAGCAACTGAACCTAACCAAATTAAACCAATATTTATGAAATGAAGATATGTTTAGCATTATTGATCATAAAGTGTAGACACACTTCAACTTGATGACATTTGTTTTATGAAGTGATTGCCACTTAAGAAGTCAATCAATGTTATCGAATAGAAGTTGAGAGGGTTTATAGCAGACCTGTCGATATTGTCATAATAATAAATGTGATCCGCGCTGTTTTGAACCACTAAAAGTGTTTGTTGTTACCGTACTTTCTGGCTTGTGGTGAACTCTTAGAACGATTTAGGTCTATCGACAGTAATGCATTATACCACAAATATAAGTGTATGTTATTAGCAATATTCGCAAAGAAACGGAACACTAAACTAATGCACCGTTCCAGGTGCATTATTTCAGTGTACCAAACTCGATTTTAGCGTTTGTGTTCGGGAACACAAATGATTCAGTGTTACTGTACCTGCTGAACACAACGATAATCGTTGTGTTCTAAATGTTAATCCGCTAAAAAAGTTGCATTAAATTTGAGCACAGAAGTGTTTTCTGGGCACGGAAAAAATGGGAGCTCAAAAGTCAAATATATTTCGGTATACTTACTTCCAGTGGCTCGTCGGACGACTGTGTGTGTAAAATTCCCCAATGCTGCTACCGTTACAATAGAATCCTTTTTCCCACTGCTCATCTGAAACCAAAAAGATAGACAGAAGTTAAAAGTGTGTAAACCATTTTTGGAATAAGAAATTGATATATTGATTGAATATTTTGAAAACGGTAGTTTCCATGCTCCATGGTATACCGGGTGTATTCGAATTAAGGCCTACCTCGCCACCCGGTGGACCCTTATTCACATACAAGCCATAGTCTTCTCTTGCGGTCAACTTTTTAATCGCGAAATACCAACTAGAACAGGATGAAAACTCAAAATATCTTCCGATAGATGATAGAATTGTGCACGTATATTTTGGTTCGAATAAAAATAGTTTTTGTTTATTTATTCTTCACACATTAAATTTGTTAAGTTGTTAACTTAACAAACAGAATAAAATAAAAATTATCCAAATATCTTTAAAAAAGCGTGTTGATAAGATTGTGCACGAATATTTTTTTTTTTTTTTTTTTGTATAAACATATTTTTTGTTTATTTATTCTTCCAACAATAAATTTGACAGTCAATGAAGACATAGAATTCGCCTCCTTGTTAACCTTAAGGGCCCCATCAAGGCCTATATAAGGTCGGCCAGTAAGCGAATTCACAGAAAAAAACTTAAGTTTAATGTCAATTTTTTTTGCCGAGGCGAAAACTATTTTTCACCTTTAAATAAAAAACACAGCCAAAACACAACACAATCTATAATTTGTAGGATAATTTACTTGAAAATCTTCTTTAAACTCTTCAAATACTCCAAATGTTCTGTAAATAGACGATATAAATTAAAATTGAATTGAATATTAACAAAATATAATTATTTCCGTTTTGACGTCTAACATAATTGTACTAGATGAACTAGATTTGACACTTTTTTAACTCGTTTGGCACCAAACAAGTGATCTAGTACCTAGCACTTTTTTAGTATATTTATGGAATTTTATTGTGAACTTCTAGTATCACTCCAAAAAAGTTCTCGTTTTTTTTGGCTTAACTTTGACAAATTGAATGGTTCCGAAGAATGCCATGATATTTCAAGATATCGATAGTCTTTTAAAAAAAGAAGCACATCAGAATTATAATGGAAATAAAAAACTTGCATTATTGCGATTTACATTTCGATGTAGCACCTACAAATATATTATTTCATATTAATATCTTATATTAATTCCCTATCAGCAGTAGTATTTTATTTGTACTTAATGGCAAATTGAAAAACGAATGACAGTTTAACTAAACTGGACTTCAAATATTTTCATTTATATTTGCATGGCCTACATTTATCAAAGCGATTATATTTGCGGTAGCTGAATTTGTCCTGCGAGACCTTTTGTAATGATTTAAGGGGACTCTCTCCCATTCTCGGTTTCAAAACAAAACATGAATTTTAGTTTTCTATCTAATTCTAAACTACACGTAACCCAAGAAAGTCATTTTAAAATTTCAAGTGACAATCTCAACAAATCTTGAAGCTATAGATCATTTGTTGTTGTGTCAGCATCAAGCACGGCAAGAGTGTTTCTCAAAATTTAAACGCGTTCTTCTCGAAACAGTAATTTCGTTAAATCAATCGTTACTGTATGTTCGTTTATACTGTCATTATTAAATATTGGTAAAGCGGTCCTTGATTCAAACATTATTTTTGTTCACTTTGATTATGTTTCAGAGACTAAAGGACATTATCGATGAAACACAACTCACATCATTCAAATGTCATCGACAAAGCACAATCGCAAACCTTTTATGTCCAATCAAAGGAGTGCCAAGGATGATGTTACAATGACTATGAAAATGAATGGATGGATGGACAGAAAAAATAAAAGTGACACTTGCTGATTGGGACGAAGCACATCGTAGCACATCGCCGTTGACATACGACATTAGATGAACATAGCATCATGTTATCTTTACATGAGGACAATGTACGCGTTATCCGTTCTCTTATGAGCGATGCCACGTCTTATTGTTGTGACACAGAAACATGAACGAAAATGCATTCATCGAGCTGTACACGGATTCGCCTTTCGCACCACACTCCCGTGTGGAATTGTTCATTTTATGACAATGTGTGGTTACATATCTCAACCATTGTTGCCAATCCAAAATGTATCTATGTGTACGAAGTGGTTACAATGTGCTTTACACTCGTTTCTACACATCTCATGTGGATGTTGCCATCAAAACACTCACGTATGGTTTATAATTGTTGCCAATCCGCTTAAAGAGATTTGCGCTTGTATTTTCTTTAACATCATTATATATGAGTGTATGTGGACTCTGGGTGTGTTGGAAACATATAGTTCCGTACACAAATCCACACATTCATTGTTGAAGATAAAGAGGTCCTTTGTGTAAAGTTTAGTAGAGGATTGCGACCAGATACTAAACTTCAGTTTAAATTGGATCACAGCTTTTAATTTAATTGAGTCGTCAACATGATAGTCCCTGAGCACATACAAGAGTGGAAAATGTGAAATGGATACGCAACGCGTTGTTTTTAAATTTAAATCGTTTATGTTAAGTACGGTTACAGCGAAATTGTGGGGACCAAGCAAATTAGTTCGTTATAGAGGAAGTAGATATCTTTTACCGTTGGCTGATTTGTTGAGGTATGTATAATGGTGACGTATGTATAATGTTCAAAACGAATAATGTTCAAAACGAATCATTGACGTCGATTGTATGTTGAATATTTTTGATGGATTTTTTGGTATATCTTACATATAACAAAGTATGCCTTTGTATTGGCGATTTATGCTCACAATTATTGATGATTTTGTTTCCTATGTACAATACGTTTATGTTTTGGCACATTTACTACACCTTTTTCACATGTTATTCAAAGAATATCAAATGTAATTCGAGAATTCCATTTGTAATTCACAACATATAATTTGCAATTCGAGAATTCCATTTGCAATTCACAACATATCAGCTGTAATTCGAGAATTTCATTTGTAATTGCTAGAATACCTTTCGAAATTCATAGAATTCCATTTGAAATTCATAAACATCCATTTGAAATTCCAATTATTTGCGTTTGAAATTCATAAAATTCCACTTGAAATTAATAAAATTCCATTTGAAATTTAAATAATTCCATTTGAAATTCTTAACATTTATTTTGAAATACATAACATTCCATTTGTTTTTCATAACATTTAATTTTAAATTCGAAAAATATTATTGGTAACACAAAGGAATATGTATGAATTTGAAATAAATTGCTATGAATTACAACTGAAATTTTATGAATTACAAGTGAAATGTTATGAATTTCAAATTGGATTCTTTGAATTTCAAATGGATTTCTTTGAATTTCAAATGAAACTCTACGAAATTCAAATTGAAATATTCAAATTACGAATGAAATTTTTTAAACTTCAAATGTAATTTTTTGAATTTCATACGGAAAGTTTAAAATTACAAATGAAATGTTGTGAATTACAAATTACATACTCGAATTACAAGTGGAATGTTATGAATTGCAAATTGAGTTTTCGATTTACAAATGAAATTCTCGAATTGCAATTGAAATGTTTTAAATAACATTTGTAAAAGGTGTAGCTATCAATGGATATCGAAAAATGATACATCATTAACTAATACACCTAAGTCTGTTTTTACACGGTCTTTTTGTACACGGTTTTGATATAACACGGTTTGAAATTTGAAAGTTAAAAAAAAAGAGTTTTTTTTAATTTTTTTACACGATTTTATTCCATTTAGCACGATTTGAAATTTTATGTACTTAATTTTTTTGTCAAATTAAATTTTTGCGAAGTATGTTCATATCACAAAAAAGTATTTATGAAAGAAAAAAGTCTGAAACCATCAATAGTATCGTTAGTTTGCGATCACTAGCTTAAAGATTTAACCCTACGGTCAATAACCGGGTACATTTGTACCTTTTTTTTTGAATAAAAATTCTATAAAATGTTTAATAATGGAGATATTTGCATCAAATTTTGAGGAATCATTCTTGAGGTATTTTCACACATAATTGAAGAAAAAAATATAAATATTTTCCATATATATATATATATTTTTTACAATTATTTAAAGTTATTATCTACGTGGTACATTTGTATTGGATTATCGTCCAGTTTTTTGTTTTAAATTAGTCTATATGGATCTGATATACATGTAGGAACTCAAAATTATATATACATTAAAATAATATATATTTAAATCCATGTTTAAATGATAATCTATCTAAAACAATCTTAGTAAATTCGTTATAGCTTTCGAATGGGTTAAGCTTTTATAATTATTTTTTTATTGGGATCTTATTTAGGTGTTCCCCAACCCCTCTGCAGATTTTTGTGACCCTAAACAACATGGGGCCATCAGGGCGACTAATGGAAGTCAGAAACTATCTTGGTTTTCCCTTGGTATACAGGGACACAAACAATGGTTACTGTCCGTAATTTTCCAATTATTCTTCACATTGGGCCTGAAACTTTTTCTATAATCGAATTAGTTTGATTTATTACAATACTAAATTGGCGTACATATATAAACTATCATAAAATAACGTTCTAAAGTATTACAAAATATTAAAAATGCGCCAATCACAATCTCTAAACTCATAAAATGTGAATAACACTGTAATACAAATTACCAAAAAAAATCGATATAGACACCTATTTCCTTTAGAAAATATGCATAGAACCAATACAAAAATGTGTATAAGTCATTCATTTTTCGAAAGAAAAGAAGAATAATATAAATACGTTAGCAATAAAAGAAGTTATTCGAGTTTCAAATTGAAAATCCATGAAACCACGTTTTTCTCTATATTTACCGTTATAAAATAATTTTCAAAGTGACGCAGAAAAACCAAAGATATTTTCGTTGTCCAGGGACTCCAACTAAACAGAATTGGTACATTAGAACCCCTGAAAATGTTTCGTGTCGCACAGTGTAATTGGCAATAAAAATTGTTTTAGTCCCTGTATACCAAAGGAAAAACAAGGTAGTTTTTGACTTCCACGAACCACCCTGATGGACCTGTGCTGTCTAGGGCCACAAAA